AGAGAAAGCGGAAAAAAGTGGAAAGGGACATTACTCCGAGGCCTCTATTATATACTATCTAGAGGTATGCACCGAGTCCGACAGACTTCACCTTATCCGGCACACTCCCCCCGAGCCCCTTGATCAGCTGGATTAGCTCTGCGCGAATCTCGTCTCCAATCATATCTGACGAGTCGGGATCAAGCACAAAGGCAAACACTGCGAGGAGGTGGTCAATTTGGGGAGCGAGTGAATCTGGGCTTGTCTTGGATATGTGGAAGATAGCGCGGAAAACAGGTCGGTTCTCGAGGAAGTCGTGCTTGAGCGGGAGTGCGCCTATGAAAACAGGCATGACCTGTGCAGCACATCGTGAGCTACGATTGTCGGATAGGGACAACAATGCTAACCTGGTCTAGAGGCATTGATCCTGCATTCTTCAGCAGCATCCTCGCAACACACCCGGTGGCATTGTCCTTGGCGTTGAAATGGGAATGCGGTGCGCCCCCGGCAACATCAAAGTACGGTCGCAGGGCAGTCAGAATCGCGAGATACTGTCCGCTCATGTCCACCTCGCTATTCTCTACAAGTACCCCCATCGCAAACGCAGCATTGCTTCGCACCTCGGCGTCCTCGTCCGAAAAGCCCTGAGAGATGAGGGTAAACACATCCTGAGTGAACGGTGTCACACCGCCCTTCATCCCAGATATGATTTCGCCGAGACAGCCAATTGTCGAGGTACGCTCACTGAGTGAACGGTTCTTGGACTACATGTGAACAATTTTAGTACACGTTTGCTTATGTAATCATGGGAACGACTCACGTAATACTTGCTCAGGAGCGGGAACAACTGCGCGAACAACACAGCAAAGTCCGGCCCAAGGATGCTAGCAAACGAGGCGACAAGATCGCTCGCAGCAGAGATCAATACCTGATCGTACTCGGCTTGATCTTCATTGTCTTCAGCTTCGTCGTCGTCTTGGTCAGGATCTTGCTGGCAGAGCGCCTTGCCCTCGAGGATCTCAGTTGCAAACCGAACCATCTGATCAAGATCTGCCAAAAAATGTAAGTATGTGCCTCTTGTTTAAGCTCGTGGAAATGGCGTATCAGAGACTTGAATGGGTCCGAAGACTAGCCCTCATAACAACTTGTGTTGCTCGAGAGTTTGCAGATAGATTGCATCTTTTGGAGAGGGGATAGATAGAAGCTCCTTACGTCCTTCAGCAAGGCCAGGGCCGACCTTGGCCAGTGTCTCGCTCAGGCCCTGGCACACATTCGCGACGACGTTCCTAGATAAAATAAGCGTTTAGTCTCAAAAAGACGTAAGCGAGACGAGGGGATCAGAATATACGCGTTCGTCGCATAACTCCGTGGAGTATCGAAGTGAGCTGAGTTAACGTTGTGATATCTTCATGTGCAGGAAAGGTTGGAACCGAATCAACAATTTTTCGACTCACTTGTCATCCTCAGTCTCCCACATGACGAATATTTCGGGCATAACGTGCGTAATTAGGTCCTTGACGTTTTGGTGCAGTGGAACTTTCTGTATCATCTATTAGCTCTCGACCGAAGAGTTAATAGGAACCACCTACCACTTCACTGCCAGAAACCCATTCGGCAGGAGTGGACAGTTCGTAGAAAGTCTGGATAATCTCGAACAACGAAGTTACGGCCGACTTGCGGATGCCCTCATAGTAATGGGATAATAGCTCGACGAGTTCATGCACGCACGGCTCGACATACGGCAGGAAGTGGTTGCGAGTGTGCATGAACACGGTCCCAATGGTGTCAGCGGCGATCTCCTTCTCGACGGCGATGGCACTGTTAACGGCGAGCTCCTTGTCTTCGTCAACATCCTCGATATCAATCGACTGGGAATCAGCAGCGACAGGGATAGCGTCCGAAGAAGAATTGCCAGTGGCCTTCTTGAGCTCCATAAGTTCCTTGGCTATAAAGGCTTGGTTGGGCATGTCATGTTTAACCATATGAGCTTCGACTTACCGAATGCGGTGTCCTCGCCTCCCTCTTCTTGCTTGCAGCTTGCAATAAGTGCTGGGACAACACGGTCGAGATATGGCGAAAACTCTTCCTCGAATACCCGGGCCATAACGCCGAATATGAGGAAACTACACTCGCGAAGGCGGGCAGAATCCAACGACATCCCCTCAAAGGCGTTATTCATGACTGGCTCGAAATAGGGGCGGAAATGCTCTCGCCCAACAGCGTCGGCAAGAGTGCCAACAGTGTCCATGGCAATGCCCCGGAGCTCTTGCTCACTTCCTTCGCCGCGGAGTACAAGGAACGGCTGCAAGCGGTGCATGGTGGGCTGGAAGTAAGGCAAGAAGCTAAGTTTGGCGGCGTGAGCGGCAGATCCAATCGCCCCTGTGACAATGCCTTTGACCGAGTTGGGGGCCGTGTCTAGCAATCCAGAGAGACGATCCATAAGCTGTGTGAGATATTGAGTGATCGAATCGCCAAGAATTTCGAGGAAATCATCGAGGGCAGTGCAAGCAGCTCCCTGGGTATCGGAGTTGTTGATCATATCAAGGAGAATGGGAAGAATGGTGGCATGGCGATCTACCACTTCCTCCTCGAGCCACTCGCAGGTGCATCCCAGAGCGGACAATGCAGCTTTACGCACAACAGGGTGGGGGTCGGCGAACCCAGCGTCGATGAGTGGCCAGAGCTGGCGCATATGGGGACGAATATACTCGGAGCAGCCCTCGAGGGTAACTGCGAACGATGTGAGAGCAGCCTTGCGCTGTCCAGGGTCGGAAGATGCCATGTATTGACCGACGATCGAGTGAAGAGTTGGGAACACTTGAGAGGGAGGCAGCGATGTTGCCAGTTCGTCGATGACACGGAATGCGGTCTACGATAATGACTGAGTTGGATGCACCCGTGAAAGACGAAAATGGCTTACCCTTGACGGGCATTCGTCGTCAGCATCGTCAGTATCTTCTTCGGCTCCGATAGGCATTAAGCCTTCGAGGATGGGCTTCGCAAGATTGAGACTCTGAATCCTGTTCTTTTTGCTGTGGCCAGGTCAGTACGAATACGCTTTCCGAGATTGTCAAACATACTATTTCACGGTCCAAGTCAGCGAGTTGAGCGACATGATACGCAAAGATGTCTCATAATTTTTGTTCCCCCCACAGCGCAAGAAGAATTCAACCATCTGGGGCATATGTTTGGAGAGCAGTGGAGTTTCCTAAAACAGCGAGGTTAATGCAGCCAACGATGGCTATGCAACATGCTCACCAGAATTAGCAAAGTCTCGAATACATCAAAAACGTTGCGTGCCCCTTCCTCGTTGTTGTTCTCGAGGCAATCGGCAAGAACATTGATCATCCCGGGTATAAGAGTTTGAAATTGTTTCTGTGCACCGAGTAAGCACTATTAGGGTGCAGGGCAGCACCGGACTCACAATCTCGGCTTTCTGGTCAGAATCAATGTACTGCGCCACTTGTCCCAAACACCTAACGGCCGTGACACGAACTTCTGCACTCTCTGGGTCGCGAATGAGGTTGTCGAAGAGAGAGAAGAACGTAGAGAGACGCTCCGAAACCTCATCCATCAGGTTGTCCAGAATAGTAAAAAGCACGTACACGCCGACCTCGCGGTGGGCCGCAACGCTAGCAACACATGATTCCTCAACCCAAGGGATGAGTTCGCGCCAAGTAACCTGCTGAGTGCCCCCTTGGAGCTCAAACTGTGCAATTGCCGCAATTACACGAGCGATAGTGTGGCGGACAATCGATACGGGCTCCGCAAGGATAACTTGGGTGATCCTGGCCTTGATTGCGCTTCGAAGATTTTGGGGCACACCCACCCAAAGCTGACCTTGATGTTGGTTGACGCGTTTTCGCAACTCTACAGCGGCAAGTTGACGAATCTACGCGCCACGGCTCAGTAACCCGTGTCACTTGAATATACCGACGCGTACATTTTGGTCAGGGGAGGAATTGATGATTTCAAATAGAGCTGGGATACAGTCCGAGCTCGTCCAGTAGGTCTTTGCTAAAGTGGCAGTCGCCTAGAATGTACGTGAGAGCGCGCCAAGGGGGAACGCACGTATAGACGTACCGCTTTGATAGCGTTCGTATCAGGAGCGGCAGTTTGCGCCAGGAGGTCGTGAAGATTTTTAATATAGGTGGGCTGAGGGGCAATCAGCACAATCGCCCTAACCCATGCGCCACCCGCGAACGTACATCCATGGTTTATGAGTATACTGAGTTTTGAGGAAGTCTGTCACAGGAACGCGCCTGGACTCGTGAGCGGGCGTAAAGAGACGCGTTGGGCGAGATGGGTGAATTCAAACCAAAATTTCTGCACGGACCACTTTTGAGGGTCCCTATCACGTGACATGCAGCGTTGATCAACTGTAACCCGCTCAATCACCTACCGAACTCTTGCGTATGCGCATATATTGCCCTAAATAACCTGTTCATACAGCTCAGGTGCTATCCTGGGAGGTCGGCCGAGAAATCAACCTAGCCGAAGCCCAGGTCCAAACCGGTGTCACATTGGCCAGAAGTCGGCCAAGAGTGACCAGCACGGGTTTGTGTGTATACGTTGTGCTGTATGCATCATGATTATGAAAATTGTGAGTGTATGCTCAGCCAATGGTTTGTTTAGCCCCTTCGCATGTTCTACTTTTGGGCACTTGTCCCTGTATGCACCATTTCTTGCCCACTTTTGAAGGTACTGCCATGAGATTTAGCAGGATATTCCTTGACCGGGTCTAGCAAACAGGCAAAAAAGAAATATTCATATATTTCCTGCTGCAGCTTAGCCATCTCGAATGGCAACTACCACAGGATATGTGCTAACCAAAGTGAACACAAACCTCCAGAGGTGGGTATGCGTAATCAGGGGAGCAGATTGCACATGCAATTGGCATGTTATAGTGCTAGGCTTCAAAGATAATTGAGTCTTAAACCCAAAAAATTGACAAAGAAAGTGAAGCAGCCTTGTTTGGGGTAAACAGTCGCAAAAACAAGACAAAAGACTGGTAAAAAGAGTGACCACTGCCCGGATTGAACGGACGACCTTGTGGAGCCACGCTTGCGTAAGCTGGAATCACACGCTCTACCACTGAGCTAAGCGGTCTTGTTAGGGCTTGTTGTATAAACCGATATAGCATGCTTGTGCAGTATATACCAGCTCAGGCGTCGCGTTTCACGGTTTGGCTCTTATGCAAATATTGTAGCCCGACCCGAAGTGTATACACGTTATTGTACAAACCAGCTGGAAGGGCGAAACAGGCATGCCAGGGGGTAAGATGAGAAAATGGTGATTTTTCAGCTTTTGACCGAGTGACACTTAGGCTTTGTTCAAGTAGTATATATTGCAGCCCTGGGCGCGCAGAGCGTATCGAAGCTTGAATCATCTCGATTGACGCAGTAGTTGTGGAGCGGGCTCTCCAAGTTGTGAAATTTCAGCATATTTAGCCAAAACAGCAACAACAGCCTTATTTAAGGACCGATACCCCATAACTACTGCACCGACCGAGATGATTCGAGCTTCAACCCATTCTGCACACTTGGAGCTGCAATATATATTACTTGGCCAAAGCCTGAATGTCGCTTAGTCAAAGCTATCAAAAAACATCCTTTTCTCACTTTATCCCCCAGGCATGCCTATTTTGTTTTTCAGCTAGCTCGTACTGTCAAACGCATGCATTCCGAGTCGGAATACAATACCGATATATGAACCGAGCCGTGAAACGCAATGCTTGAGCTGGTACATGCAAGCATTACTACGTTGGTTTGTTTGTCAATATACATACATCGGCCACCCAAACAAACCACGGCCCCACAAGGTCCTTGTGCCCAAAATATTATTAACTGAGGGATTCATTATTACGTACTCTACACGGCATATATGTGATGTTTGACCAGTGAGTTGTTCAACGAACCACTCATGTCACCCAAACACCACTGGTTTGCTATTCCCCGATAAACCACCCTCGTCGACCACAGCTAAATGCTCCTCGTCGACGGGGAAAGTGCCACGCATTAGCTAGCCTGAGTGACGAATGATCAGACATGACCGTGATGGCAGAGCGGGACAAGCTCAGAAATCTTCCCGACCGCCGTTTGAAGCCGAGCCGACCGGATCCAGTTGGAGCGTGATCGTGTAATTGTCAGTTTCAGCGCTGGGAGCTCACTTGCCGCCGACTACAATTAAGGAACATGCTTCATGATCCACCTACTGTCACAGCTCCCTCTTATTTTACCCCGAGTTCCCAGGCGTATTCCCATTCACCCAAAATCAGCCCCTCCTTTTCGTCCTGTTACCTGCCACCCCCTCTAATATCTAATCCCCTTTTGAAACACCAGAGGCATGCCTAGTATCTCCTTGATAAGCAAGCTCAAGTCGAAAGTTAAACACCAAGGCGAGGTTGCGGTATGCAAGTTCAAAGTCGACGCTGCCGAAGCCATCGGTGTCCCCGTCCACGACACAACGCCCATCGCCTCGCTCAAGGCAGAAGCCAGTGAGCTATTCAAGAATGGCGATAGCAAGGGCGCTCAGCGGGTCTACACCCGAGCTTTGGCTCATCCAGATTTGGATCCCCACGAGCGGGCTGTCCTGTATTCCAATCGGGCTGCGGCGGACATGAAGTTGCGCAGGCGAGTTTACACATCGTATGCGTATTCTTTGTGTCATTAATAAATATACAGATTTGAAGAGGCTATCTCCGATGCCAAAAAGAGTGTCGAGGCAGACCCGACCTATGCTCGTGGTTTTGAGCGTCTTGCCACTGCACAGCTGGTAGCTATATGCGAGACACTTTTCTGATCATTGCTCACACACACCCAGGGTCTACATCGCTTCGCAGATGCATACGAATCCTATGGGAAAGCCGTCGCTATTCTGGACGCTATTGCCGAGCCAACATCCGCCGACATTGCCCGCAAGGTCAAGATCGAGCAAGCCTTGGCGGAAGCGCAGCGCAAAGAGGCTGGCCCAGACGTGCTGCTCATTCGAAACGCAGTTGGGAACCTACCGTGGGATAAGGCAGCAGGTGAGCCTCTCACTCGGATTGGCGAACTGGCTCGAAACAAGTTATAGCAATGCGGCCGAGCATGGATGCATCCTCTGATGGGACATGCACTAGCGTGAGTGTTCGTACTCGATCTTGCTCATGGGCCGGCTAACTGGGTTTAGGCTTGGATTATTTTGGAAGCCCACGAGGTATATAGATGTATCCTTCGGTCAAGTCACGCCCGCTCATTCTTGTACTAGGTATTCAAGAAGGGATGCGACGCATTATGGGAACTCCAAAAGAACGAAACCTCTGAGGGTCTTGCGATTTACGGTCGTCTTGGAGTGAGTTTTGTCTGGAATGACCAAACTTGTCCGCATATACTTATACGTCTACAGGCCGTGGCTGATATTTCTGATGGTCTCTTGCGCGATGAGCGTGCGTTCCACATGACCACGCCTGACTGGAAGGATAGGTATGGCTACCAAGGTGCGCAACTTTACGGGTTCGCATTCGCTCGCTAAATTTTTTTGTAGCGCAATACGAGGCTATGGAACACAACGCATGGATCAACCAAGGTGACGAAGCCGTCATCATGCGGGAAATTCGAGAGCGTGTCGCTACTCGCGGCTGGAACGACGTCCGGCCCGCCCTCGACCTGACTGTCCGTGCATGGATCATGCATGCCTTCCTGCTACGCTCCATCCCAGACTATACCACCGCCGTGCAACTTTTGCAAAAGGTTCAACGGTTCTTGACATGGGGTGACCATCAATGGCCAAGCGTTCCAACCTCTGAGCGCGGGCCGATTTTTGAGCCTACTTTCAGGCGGAGCGTCAAGCGTCTATACCTGCATACCTTGTACCAGGTAATCCAGGCTCCGAGTGTTTTCGTTATGGCTAACATCCCCATAGGCCGTTATAAACAACCCCGGTCCCAACTCACCGTTCTCTCTCGCCGAGCTCAAGAACACTTCGGCCGCCATCCTTGATGACGTTGAACAACACCCGCCCAAGGATGAGGATAAGCATACCCCGGGGACCATCGCCGCCTTTTGGTTGTACCCCACGGCCGAGGCGATGGTTGTTGATGGGTTTTACCACATGCAGCTCGCAGTCACGACCGTGCCCGTCAACCCGGTGACGCAAAAGGAGAACTTTAGGCTTGCATATGAGAAGTATTTGGCTGGCGCAGAGCGGTTCCCCAAGGACGACGAGGTAAGTGATCTTCTTGTGACACCATGGGCAACAACTCACTTCGATTCGGCAGAATCACGCGTGTAAGCACGTACACCCGAGATAAATTGGTAGTTGCTGACGCATTCGCAGACTACCTCAAGAGCGCTCTCGAATGCCTCATGGAAAGTGGCGCTACCTTGCGCGAGACCCTTCCGCTCATGGAGCGGGTACGCAAGGCAGCGCCGCTTATGAAGAACATCTGGGAGATTTCGAGCATGTCCCTTTGTGGCCGAGACGCCGCGCTTCAAGCCGTAATCTCGTTCGAGGAAGGAGTACAGAAGGACCTGAAAGATGGGACGATCACGCTGGATGACGTAGTAAAGATTCCACACACCGAGACCCTCTAGTGAAACAACGAAAGTCCGTGTCAATTCACATGTATCTGAAACACCCATGTGCTGTATTTATCTACATTACACTGTCTCCTCCCGTCCACGAACTGCCAAGTCGATTCAGCCATAAATTGTCCAAAGAATTAATATATCATACAAGAAAAGTTACATTAGATTCGTTTCGTCTCGCTCGGCTTGCGCGGTGACACGTCCTTCAGTTCGTCGCTCGTCGCCGTCCGAGAAGGGGTAAATCGTGTACCCATCGGGGACGAGATTGGGGTCGTAAACTCGGCGGTTGCAGGTGAATCGGTCTCGGAACGTTCCATAGCGGGCCTCGGTGGCGTTGCAGGAGAATCTACTGACCGCATCGGGCTGTTTGCAGCCGTAGCCACCTTGATAGGTGTGGCCATAGTTGAGGGGACGGCCTTGATAGGCGTGCTCGGGGTGGGCATTTCACCCTCGACCGGGGTTGGTGAGGGACTCGGCGGTGTCCCTGGGAAAGTCATATCTGGTAATGGTGACGGCAGCCTTACATCCAGCGACGGGGCCCCAGTACCTAGTTTTCTAGGTGGCGGCGACGGCAGCTCACTTGGTGGTTCGCTCATACTACCCGATCGAGGGGGGAGTGGCGGAGCTTGGGTATCCGGCTCGGGACTTGTAGGATTGAGGGCTGCCGCCCGAGACGCTGGATGAATCGACTTGCCCGGCCTGGGAGGCAAGCGTGGAGCAAAATCAATATCAGGAAGTCGAGGTGAAAAGTCTATGTCCCCGGTCACAGTGGGGTGCCGGACGAGCGTGTGGGAAGAGCCGTACTCGATCCTCATCGGTGCTTCGCCAACAGGTTCGGGTGGGAGAGGTACATCTCGAACCAGATTATTCTCCTTGTCTTTTTCAGGCGCTTTGTCGTCGTGAATTGCCACCCCTTGAGCCTCGGATAACGACGGCTTGGCCGAATGTCCCGACACCGACCCGTTCTTTTCGCCCTTTTCCGGTCCAAGACTAAGACTTGACCCTGTTGCATGATACTCTGGAAGCTCTTCTCCTGTCGGGCCCTTGTCTGCCGCAGTGTCGGGCTTGACCGTGGCTCCACTATTCTGCTTCTCGGTATGGGCAGGGGTAACGTTGAAGATCGTACTCGAGGCAGGGGAACTTCCTTCCGCCTCTCGTTCGCCAAACACCAACGGTGCTGATTATCAAGAGTCAATTTGACATGTTTGGTGCCAAGGGATAGAGCATACCATAGGTGATCATGTCCTCCAAGACCGTATCTTTCATGTTTCCTACGCTCAGCAAATCTGTGCTCCCGCGAGGGATTTCGTCTTCTCCAAATACCACCGATCCGAACACAATCGCGAGGTTACGCGCATCCATCCTGCAATTTGTAAATTTGGATGCATACTCTGCTAAAAGTGAAGGGCATACTTGTTCTTTTGTGCTTTTCCGGCAACGCGTGCCAAGTGCTCTATAACAACTCGCACTGTTGCCTGGTGCACTCCCGGGAGTCTTCTTAGCCTACCGCGTAGCACTACGAAACCGTTCTTGACGTGTTCA